GGGGGGGGGGGGGGGTTCGGGTAGCCCCGCGGCAGGGGTCGGGGGGTGAAACTCCTACCCTGGCTTGGGCCCAAGGGATCCCCGCGTGACAACCTTGAGCAGTCCCACGCTGCCCAAGTTTTTTTTTTTTTTTTTTTTTTCCCTTAATCACCCAGGTGGATTCGGTAACGATCGGTCAGGCGACTCTAGTGATCACATTTAAGAGAGTGTTGTCCCCCCTCCAGAGCAGCGCATTAACCTGTCTCTTCAATGCTTTGACGGCCTCTTTGCCAAGGGCCCATATAGCAGATTTGTACCATAGTGAGGCCAATACAACATTGTTGATGACTAGGGTTCTGCCCGTCAGTGATGTCCGCTTGTCATTCGAGTGGGCGATCTTTTCCAGTGCGGGATTCAAAATTCAGTCATCGTTTAAGGCTGGTCTGCCAATGACTGTCATCATAATGCCCAAAACCCGGATCGGAGGCCACTTAACCCGCGGCTGCTCGGGAGGGCGCACCCCCTAGTGGTGAATCCACCACCCTAAGGTTTTGGTTCCCTAATTGACTGTCATGTCGGATATGACTGGAAACCGCTCCATGAGGTTTCTTATCTCTTCCATATTTGTAGGAGAAGCATCCGCCATGACAGTAAGGTCATTAGCGAATATAGAGCAAACTGGGATAGCTTCGTCTGGAAGTCGAAATCTGGAGTTTTCGCAGATCTTTGTTACTGCAGAGGTTTGCGATCAGTGCTTCCATTACGATAAAGAAGAGGAAGGAGACTAGCGAGTCTCCTTGGCGGACCGATCTCTGCAGGTGGATTTTCGGAGTCAGTATTCTATTTACCTGAACTCTCGTGGTGGCGTTTTGGTGCAGAATTGCTGAAAATCATTTTTTTCATGCATTTATCCAGAAAAAAAAAAACAATCCTCGTAATCATATGCTTTCTCAAAATCTAGAAAAATTACGGCTACATTGCATTTGTTCTGTCCTATTAAGGAGCTCATATATCAAGAGAATGTTATCATGGATTCTTCGCCCTTTGATGAACCTCGTTTGAGTGGAATGAATAAGGGTTTCCATGACAGGGATCAGGCGGTTTGCCAGGACCTTCGCTAACATCGTGTACACAACCGTAAGCAGGGTTATTGGCCGATAGTTATTTATGTTCACTTTGTCCTCTTTTTTGTGCAACAAGGTAAGGACACCCTATCCAACCAACTCCCTCATGTGCACCCGGATTCCCACACCTGCTCGTAGTACTTCATAAGGCATGGGGCCATCATGTCCCAAAATGTTTCCCAAAACTCTTTTGAGAAACCATCTAGGTCTGGCGTTTTTTTCCTCCTCCATTTAGAGCAAAGCAGTCAAGATTTCCTTCTTGGATAACGGGTGGTGGAGTTGTGTTTTCTGTTGTTCGGATAATTCTTCTTGTGGTTGTAAGAAGGTTGTAACCTCTTCCTCCTCAACGGCTTGTCCCGCTGTAAACATCTGGATGTGAAGAGGTTTCTGAAGAAGGACCGTGCTATGTGTACACACTGTGGAGTGGAGGATGTTACTTCCTCGCACCCTTGCTTTGGATCGTATAGGGCCTCGATGCTCGTCCTTGGTGTACGTATATAGGTCAGGCTAAAGATTTTAGTGTCCATTGTGCTTTCGGTTTGGTAGTGTGATATTCTTGCTCTGATTCGCATTCCTCCCCATCGTTGGGCACCAAAGGTTTGCAATTGTTGTTGCAGGACTTGTATATTTATTTGATGGTTTGAATTTGTACTCACAATATCTAGAGCGTCCTGCTGTTCAAGTTCAAGTTGACGAATTTGTTGAAGTATCTTACTTCGCGTTCATGTCTGCGGGCCGCTAATTGTAACAAGTATTCTTTGCACTTCTTGTTGAAGAAAAACAAACCATTATTAAACCAATCGATTCCCTCTGTGGTACGTGTTGCTTATGGGTGTGCCAGGATCACCAGCAGTCTTTTACATACTCAAGGAATGACTTCTATTGAAGAAAAGAAACATTTAGTTTATAAAACCCAGTCCCCTGATCGGGTGTCTTGCGAAACGTCGGGGTAGGATATGGGCTCCATGGTAAAATGGATGCTAAGAGCAGCGAGCCCTACAAGTCATCTGAGATAAGAATAAAGTCGATCCTTGATCTGGGTTGACCCTCAGTTCCTTCCTTCTGGAGGCAAGAGTAATAACTTGTATCTGAGTGAAACTTTTGAAAAGTGTCGAAAAGCTGCAGTGACAAGTATAGGTCCTGGATCATTTGTTCATCGTCCTCACTGTAGGAAAGGGTGGGGGAGGGCGTTCGCCATATGTCCATCCATTGGTCCGGGGGCGCGTTGTAGTCACCCGCGATTATGACCGGGACCCCGGTTAGCATCTGCGATTTGAACCTCTAAAAAAAATGCCTCGTTTCACCCACCTTGTTCTATCCTGATAAGAATCGATACGCATCTTCCTTCCTCCTGGTCCGCTACCCAATGGATGGTGTCTGCCCGAGACTCTGGGCGGAGCCAGATGGCAACCCCTGCACTCCCGGTCTTTGGGGCATGCGCTTTAAAGGCTTTGTGGCTAGACCAGTTTGTGAATTATGTTATGTTATGGAGAGTCCATGAGGTGGGTCTCCTGCACACAGATAATGTCCGACGAACTTGTAACCCCCACCCCCTTGATCAGGTCCCAGATCGCTTGATTTTTCTTTGGTTTTACTGTGGCCAACCCGTTTACATTGAGGGACCGCAGGTCCAGGTCGCCTTTTGACATTGATTCCAAATCTTGTCTTTTTCATAGATTGTTTTCACCGAGTCCATCATCACCATTTAGCCTGTATGCACCAGATCAATTGCGATTACAGCCACTCCCACAGTTGTTGCTTCAGTTTCAGCCTTTTGTTCCCATACCATTACGAAGGAGGGCACACAGACTTGTCTGCACATCCCGTTCTGTCCATATCTCATTCGACTTAATCTTGTCAGTTTATAGGTCCAGCAACTGGTTATGGGTAAACCATTGCAGGTCCGCTTCCTTGGTCGGGTCGAAATGGATTAATACATCAATCTATGTTGTTTTAATGGAGTTTGTCATGAAAGTTAGCATTGCTTCTGCGTCGGGTTCAAAAGATTCCACAGTATGGGTAGACAAACGCATTTTCATAATCTCTCTCTCGTCGGCCGAACTCCAATTACTCGGGTTTGCCCAGAGAGAAGTCCATCCTTGTAGGGTCACCCCCCCCTGTTGACTCCCTCC